GCTTTATGCTTTATAAGATTTCTACGTCAGTATCTGAGGTGGAATATGAGTTTTCCACCATCTCTTACAATTATAAGAATTACAATTATTGGGAACCAGGGTTTAGGGCAAACGATTACAACACATGTACTATGTATACCTAAGTAATGAACAAAATTTTGATCTAGACAAGTTTAGACAAAAATTTTATCACGGCATGAAAGAACATCACAAAATTAGTAATATTCGAATATTCGCGAATTCATGGTTGCGACATGTTGTAAAAGGCGGATAATATAGCCCTGCGAAGTTTGCTGTTTTTCAGTCATTTTGTATTACGCACGGGAAATTGATACCTAATTTTTTCAGAAAGCGGTATCAATTTCCCGTGCGTAATACGTACAAAATGACTAAAAAACGGCAAACTTCGCAGTGCTATATTATCCGCATTTTACAACATTTCGCAACGAAACTTCGGAATATTACTAATTTTGTGATGCTCTTTCTAGACTTGTCTAGATCAAAATTTTGGTCATAAGGGAATATATAGCTAGGTCCATTAGTGCAATTTTCAGAATTTGATATCAAACAGAAAAAAATGTCTGTGAAAATGTCTGCAAAAGTGCAAATACCCAATTTGCTGAGTACCACTTCTCGCTGCTTATAATAGAGGCGTCCGTTGTAAATACATGTAGAGCGAGGACGACGTCTAACTCCTGTGGGATTTTAATAATTATTTATTTCTTTTCTAAAATATTACGAATTTCATTGTATTACTGCCTTTACTGGCCGTTGTCGTCACGTATCCGTCCAGTATCGTACGGTATCTATTATACTAAAGGAGCATTGGTGCTCTGGAAAAAACACCTTCTTCAAGGGTCAAAGGACCGAGTTCATGAACAGGGTGGCGGATTTTAAATTCTAATTAACTAAATGAACATTTTGGAAAGAAAGGTTTCCTAGACAGTCGGACAGGACCCCAAAAGCCCAACAATTAGATTGGGCAATTAGAAATTGGCACCTCCTTGCCCTTGGCCAAGGTACGTTGCAGGGGTGCACCGTATCCTGCCTACACTATATGTTATTTCGAGAATACACCCTTCCGAAAAGTACGTCACCTTGGCTACAGAGTCTCGTTTTCATGACATTAGTTAACTAAAGGCTCATCACGAAAACGAGGTTGTAAAGTATAACCAAGGTGACGTGTTTCCGGAAGCGTGTATTACGACGAAAGATAAAGAATTACAGCAAGACCGAATTAAGTCAACATTTAAGACAATTTTAACTTACTTTCATCATTCTGTAAATAATTAACTCCCAGATAATTGCATTAAATACAGCCTTGAGAGCCTATGCTGGGACTGAGTTAGGAGTCAAAATGAAAGCTGTAAAATAAAAAGTGTGTACCTCAATAATTCTTTTTCGCAACTCAACGTCATCCTTCAAATTATCTGTGCAAGAAAGATTGTACAATTCCTTGAACGCTTTGGTTAAATATAAGGGTCTGTTTCTGTAATGACTTAGGCAAGCAAGCACTTGTGTCAAAGAATCTTCACCAGTCACCTGAAAAATAAATGACACATAAATTATAGACTATATATAGTATACATTACATCATGCTAACAACAAGGAAAGAATACATACTGTAATATGAGCAATACAATGTGACACATTTATCATTAAATATTAACGAATAACGACCAAAATGCCCGGGTTGTCACAACCTGCACACCCGATCACCTATATATACATGAATTAACTTACGGTTACAGCTCAACAGCTGGGCTCTGTAGCTCAGTTGGTTAGAGTGCTGCACCGGAATCGCAGGGCCATAGGTTTAATGGTCTGCAGGTTTTAAAGTGTAATATATATACTCACTTGGATTACAAACCCTAAAAACAGCATTCTAATAATTTATGTTGTGCGGTTTAATTGTTATATAAAATAAGCTTATACTAGTACTACAATCTCTCATGTGATGATCTTATCATGATATGCCAGTTAAGACCTCTGCATGATTTTTATTATATTTCTGGTGTTATATGCACTCAAGTGAAGATATATGTTTGTGACATTATCTCAGAGTGTGCCCACACCCTGCTGCAAGCTGAAAGTTTGCTAGTCCATACAATGCTCTACCAACTGAGCAGGAGGTCAAGTCAACTGGTTCGAGTGGGTGATATTTTGCAACTCAATCTATAGTTCCTTCATTATCATTGTGGACCAGCAAAATAGGGTGATGCGGTTTTTCGGTAAACCGGAAAAAACGATTTTTTTTTAAAACCGAATTACTCGATGTTACTTTTGGAGAAAAACCGGAAAACCGAAAAAACCGGAAAAACCGAAAAAACCCCGCTGCATCCCTGCGTAGCCATCTATCCAAAGAGATTGACCGCTATATCTCGGCATTCCCAGTGATAGACGGAGATGACGATCCACTTCAATGGTGGAAATTAAATGCAAAGGAACTACCGTTGCTCTGCCAGTTATCGAGAAGGTATCTTGCCATCCAAGCAAGCAGTTCGCCGTCGGAGAGACTTTTCAGTAAAGCGGGGCAAGTTAGCACGCCGGCACGAGCACAACTTAAACCGGAGAAAGTTGACAAACTTGTGTTCCTGGCGGAGAACTTATAGTGGTTTACGCAATATTTCAATATTTGTACATAGTTTATTGTAAAAATTATATCTTGTACACTGCATGTTCCTTTTATACTTCGTAGCAAGGGTTAATATAATTGTTTTTTAAACCGAAGTCTTGTGTGAGTACTGAGTAGCGTGTTGTGTCTTTTTTACCTTAGTTTCGATTTTCGAACGTATTTTTTTAAAAAACCGGTTCACTCGGTTTTTTCGGGTTTTTTTGGTCGGTTTTCGTTTTTTTGTAGAAACCGCCTCACCCTACAGCAAAACAAAGGTTGCAGGTTCGATCGATTCCCACAGTAAGTCAAGCAAACTTTTCAGCTTGCCTGGTATTATATATGGACACTCTCAGAATAAACAACATCAAAAACATATATCATTGCATGATTTACTGTACGTAATATTACAAAAACATGCCACAATCTTGCATAGACCTTATCTTTCCAAAAACACAGAATAATTTGATACATATTTCTTATCATCTTCCAGTCATAACCGCATGTAAAAAAATAATATAAATTTACCTCCACATTTGCCAAGACTGTTTTTTTCAACATGTGATTAACATCTAGCAAACCCAAGAAACAAAGTTTTCTGTGCTTATGAAGAAAACTTTGCAATGCTTCATTTTCAAGAGTGCCAGCTCCCGAAACATCCAATGATGTCAAAAGAGGTAGACTTTTTTCTGAAGTGAAAAACTTACTTAGTTCAACATTGGTATCATGCATATCATCAAACGTCCGTGAGATATCAAGGTGACGTAAATTTGAAAATTCTAAGAGATCAGTTAGGTTGTGATCAACAAGTGGTGTATTGTGGATAATAAGCACCTTCAGCTTTGTAGTAAGTTGGTCAAATACATGTGTTTCCGAGACACAAGTTGATGACAAATCTAAACTCTCTAAATGCTTCATTCCAGATGCCAATAGTGCTACATCATTGTCTGTTATGTTACGACAATTGTCAAGACTCAGATGTTTCAAATTACCAAAATTCCTGATAAAATTACTATCTGTAAATGGTTCATATCTCGCCACCCAGAAGGTTAGAGTGTACCCAGGTACGACCCCAAAAGTGGTCAATTTTTTTAAAGTAGTTGCACAGTTTGATGTTGAAAAATCTGTATCCAATAGTATATGGTTATATAAGGGACCAACATCTAATTCCAACAAATTCTGACATTTTATAATCATTTCCAAAATTATTAGGAGATATGAATCATAGAAAAACTTATGATATACATTTCCCATAGAAAATCTCTTCAAAGGACACCGATCTGCATCCGTGAACAACGTCAAAAAATCCAATGGTAAACTGTTATCATGGTGGAAAAAGAATCTTTGAAGCAGTAATTCACAAATATTTGATGGTAAACAATAGTAATTCTTAAATCCAAACAAGGAAATATGGTTAATGTTAAGTACATTGGAGATTTCTAGATCTTTTTGTACTTCACAGAGTTGCTTGTAATTTCTGGTGATGTAGTCCACAGTTAAGAATAACAGTGAACGTGGAGATGCTGTACTCATACTGCTAACAATTTCATTCAGTGAAAGTCCAGGCTATACCACCAAAACTGCTGCTAAATTTCTTTGACTACAAAGATCACGCTATGTATAAGCCGTGGTATAAGTTTTCTTCTTTTTAAAAATGGTTTTGTTATGGTGTTTTCCCCGACCGGCGGTTATTACCCTACGTATTAATAACCCCGTATAGGGTATTATAAACAGTGTTGGTTAGCACTATTTTCCATCCAGCAAACCGCCCTATCGATTTTCTAAAGTCGTTTCTTTTTTTATCAATTCGGTTAGGGTTAGGGTTAGGGTTAGGGTTAGAGTTAGGGTTACGGTTAGGGTTTAGAGTAGGGGTAGGGTTTCCGTTTGGGTTAGTTACATAGTCATTTTATAACACCTCTTCCATCCAGTGAGCCCTATTTCTATTTTGTGCCAGTGAGCTCCATACTGTATGCTTCCATCTTCCAAAAATGACGTCAGGTCGGTTTGCTGGATGGAAAATAAGCATCTGGTAAACTCGTGGGTATTAAAACTCAAGATTCGACAATTTATACAAGACGACAATGAGTTTGAAATAAAGTCGAAGAAAGTCGAAATATTACCTTGAATTTTCTTGTCTTGAATTTTCTTGTCTTGAATTTTCTAGGAATCTTGAGTTGAGTCACAACGGCAGAATAAAGTCACAACTATGCTAATATTTGGTACTATTTTTGGATCTTTGTACCACGTGTTTATGGTATTTTGGTATTAAAAGATGAAGTCAACCGGTAGAAAATTTAGTAACAATGACAAGAAAGAAACGCAGGCAAAAAAGCTAAAAGTTTCCAATGATGATTGTCTAATCAATCAATATATTTTGAATGATAATATCAGAGCAGATCTTTCAAGAGCTTTCAGGTAATTAATTGTGGTTTGTATTTAAAAAGAGACAGTGGCGTAGCCAGCCCGACAATTTAGTCCCGCTATGCAAATTCAAAATTATTGTCATTATTCATTTCTTTAGAAATTGATTGTTTTCACAGTCAATGAACACGAAAATATTTGCATAGCAGGACCTAAATTGTCGGGCTGGCTACGCTACTGAAAAGAGACTATAATGACTAAAGTCTATAGTCGGGCGTATGAACCGGCGGGGGGGGGAGCCCCCCAAGTTTTCAGAAAACACAAAAAGTGCCCTTTTTCCGGTGGCAAAGTGCCCTTTGCCTTCGTGAAAAATGTTGTTCAGATTGCATTTTTGACTCACGGATGTTGCAAGCAACATCGGCAAGTCTTTGTGGTTACTTGAGTGTGGGCAGTTAATTAAACAATGAGAAATGACCAGCCTGCTTGGCACACGTTCTTTGCTTGCGAATCGGGACTTTCAGAACCGGAAATCGGGCTGGAGCACGAAAAATGGCAAAATTTGCACGATGCTCATTTGCAAAAACAACACTGCAAACTGCTTTAATTCTTTCTGTCACTTTCATTTGATCTCATCTGTGAGTCGGTCTTAACAGTCTTTGATTTATGATTGCATTTATTTTTCCTTCCCTACCCTTCCTTCCCTCGTCGCTAACATTTTCAAGAAAATTTTTTTAGGTGCCCTTTTCTTTCTAAAAGTGCCCTTCGAAACTGGTGCCCCCCCCCAAACTTTTTTATGCTTCCTACGCCCCTGCCTATAGTTTGCATCAAATTGTAAATATCATAAATATTGCAACTATCATGTAACAAGAGTCGTAGAAATAGGCTGTTTGCGATTTCTGTGAATGCTATTGAAGCTACCCTGTGGAACCAGGGTAGCTTTATTAGCCTGAAGTTAATAACTTCAGTGGCGTACATAGCCAGGGTGTAAAATTGGGGTTAGGCAAAATGTGTATGGCACTTGGAATGCAAATGTGTGAGGAATCTAGGGGGATCCGGGGGCATGCTGCCCTGGGAAAATTTTGAATTTTTAGATTTATTAGAATGCCATTTTAGGATGAGGTTTGAAGAAAAGTTACTACCACAAAAAGTTATTTTTAAGTTGCCTACAGTAATGTTGTTAGATTGAAAAAAAAAATTTAAGACATTGTACTGTGACAATAGCAAAATAGCATGATGTCTTCCTTTTTGAAGTGGAAATTATATTGTAATAAAAAGAATGAGCTTTGAACATTGACTGCTGCTATGCATGTAAATTCAAGTTCAAATGTGCTTTCAACCACCATGGGCATTTTTTACTGGAGTTTAAGGATTCTAGATATACTACAACTTTTATTGGTAAACAGAAGAGATGGAATCATTATTCAGACATCGTACCCCCCCCCCCCCATTTCTGCCCGGATTTCAGCTTTTCACAAGGGCAGTCCTTTTGCCCATTGGGAGGGGGCTGGGCCCCTTGTTCCGCCCCTACCCCTCTGGCTACGCCATTGCTTAACTTGGACCTGCACTGCAAAATAAGAGAAAGTAAAATGAATCACAACTCAAAGTATTGCTACCATATATATATATATATATATATATATATATATATATATATATATATATATATATATATATATATATATATATATATATATATATATATATATATATATATATATATATATATATATAAACAACAAATTTCAATCTTAAAATTTTATTTCATCGCTACACAGTGTTTCACGTACAGCGTACGATCATCAGGCGATTGATGTTAATTATCTCGCAGTAAATTACAACGGTTTACGCTGACGCGCTTAGATTGCTGACGCAAGCATTTAAACGATTGTGTTTACTTGCGCGCGCGCGTTCGAAATTAGAAGCTTTATAACTGTTCCTATGCCTACACTTGCTAAACAATTCAGATCTTATATTCAATGTATTAATTTTGTCCGATAACATAATCATTCTTTTTTCCTCGGTGCACAGAGAACAAACTTTCATTCCTGGGCAAACGGCTGGACCTTGCTTCATGACCGACCAATTTATTCGGAATGATTTGTTCTGCGATTTAAGACCCCAAGCATATTTCGAAAGTTCCGTCTCTGTCGAATAGCGCTCATTGTTCAATGATTTCAAATGATTGCTATATCGTAGCTTGAAAGGACCCACCGTTATTCCTATATAATTCTTGACCACTTTCCCATTGTCGCTTGTAATCTGGGCTTTATACACAACGCTTCTCATGAGACAATTGCCGTTCAGTGGACATTTACTTTTAATTCTGCAGTTACACGATTTCGATGGAATTTGGGAGGGATTCTGATTCTTAATAACACGCCGGTTGTGGTTTGAAATTGATGCTTTAATATTGTTCATGCATGAATAACTGACCTTGACAGAGTTTCGGTTGAAAATTTTATGTAGGATCGATGATTTGGGGAAATGCTTGTCTATTAAACGAAGGAAATTTTCTGCAACTTTCGTCTTCACGTTCTTGCTGTAGGGCGGATTGTACCAAATAATGTTTCTTGATCGGGTTCGTTTCTTGGGCTTACTACTATTTGTTTCATTGTCGTACCTTAGGTTGGTATTGAAATTGCTTTGCTTCAGGGCATCTTCGTATAAAGGGGCGGCTGAATCAAAACTTGGTTTGTCGGAGGAAAGGGAGGATATACGTTTATTAATTGATTTTGGGAGTTGTCTGATAATTGATGGTGGATGATTAGAACGGCTATCGATATAAATGGGATCATTATTGGGTTTTCGATAGGGAGTGAAGTTATTTTCTTTCAAGTTTAAGGTTACATCAAGAGTAAAACATGGAGTAAAACCAATGATTCGGACGGTGCCCTTTTTGATGTTGCCATGGGGAGCTACGATGGTGCCGAGGTGTGTGAACTTGTTGGTTTGTTTATATTAAATACTTTAGCGCCACGGTTCGGGAATGACATGGTTGGTCTGTATAGGGATGATGGCTTAGTGCTGGTAAAAGGGGGCAAGGGTAGATCGGCGGATAAGGCTAGAAAGGAACTCCATCGCATTTTCGATCAGTTCGGTTTAAAGATCACCGCTGATGTCTGCCATCAATCAGTGAACTTTCTTGATGTAACCTTAAACTTGAAAGAAAATAACTTCACTCCCTATCGAAAACCCAATAATGATCCCATTTATATCGATAGCCGTTCTAATCATCCACCATCAATTATCAGACAACTCCCAAAATCAATTAATAAACGTATATCCTCCCTTTCCTCCGACAAACCGAGTTTTGATTCAGCCGCTCCTTTATACGAAGATGCACTGAAGCAAAGCAATTTCAATACCAACCTAAGGTATGACAATGAAACAAATAGTAGTAAGCCCAAGAAACGAACCCGATCAAGAAACATTATTTGGTACAATCCGCCCTACAGCAAGAACGTGAAGACGAAAGTTGCAGAAAATTTCCTTCGTTTAATAGACAAGCATTTCCCCAAATCATCGATCCTACATAAAATTTTCAACCGAAACTCTGTCAAGGTCAGTTATTCATGCATGAACAATATTAAAGCATCAATTTCAAACCACAACCGGCGTGTTATTAAGAATCAGAATCCCTCCCAAATTCCATCGAAATCGTGTAACTGCAGAATTAAAAGTAAATGTCCACTGAACGGCAATTGTCTCGTGAGAAGCGTTGTGTATAAAGCCCAGATTATAAGCGACAATGGGAAAGTGGTCAAGAATTATATAGGAATGACGGCGGGTCCTTTCAAGCTACGATATAGCAATCATTTGAAATCATTGAACAATGAGCGCTATTCGACAGAGACGGAACTTTCGAAATATGCTTGGGGTCTTAAATCGCAGAACAAATCATTCCGAATAAATTGGTCGGTCATGAAGCAAGTTCCAGCCGTTTGCCCAGGAATGAAAGTTTGTTCTCTGTGCACCGAGGAAAAAAGAATGATTATGTTATCGGACAAAATTAATACATTGAATATAAGATCTGAATTGTTTAGCAAGTGTAGGCATAGGAACAGTTATAAAGCTTCTAATTTCAAACGCGCGCGCAAGTAAACACAATCGTTTAAATGCTTGCGTCAGCAATCTAAGCGCGTCAGCGTAAACCGTTGTAATTTATTGCGAGATAATTAACATCAATCGCCTGATGATCGTACGCTGTACGTGAAACACTGTGTAGCGATGAAATAAAATTTTAAGATTGAAATTTGTTGTTTATGTCTTTTTATTTGCTCTACTGATTTATTGGTGTTGAGCACTCTAGTTCACTACGCACAAATTCAATATTGAATATTATATATATATATATATATATATATATATATATATATATATATATATATATATATATATATATATATATATATATATATATATATATATATATATATATATATATATATATATATATATATATATATATATATATATATATATATATATATATATATATATTGGTGATATTATTAATAGCAGCATAGCAATTCAGATATTGCTACAGCAGCTGGATATACAAGCTAGGCTGTGAAGACATTATATTAATATGTTACACTTATTTACAGCTATGATATTTACAGCTCTTATATACATGTATGTAAATTGATAGACAATACAGTATCAATTCCAGTAGCAAAATGTGTTACGTACAGCTACTCATGTATTACGTGACAGCTACGATCATGTTATACATAGTGATATATATTTGTTACATACTAGCTGTAGTGTTACATAATTTTACAGCGTATAAACATGCATGGTGTTGCACATGCATGGTTATACATTGTGTTACTAATTAATATAGTGTTACAATGTGTTCATGCTGACTTACATAGCGTGTTACATTGTGTTCCGTACTGCTACATATTGTTATTACATGCCGTGACATTTTGGCATGCCTTAATTATTAATAACCATTGACTATTGAACTTTATAACTGCATGTGATCCCACTGCACTAATAATTGGGCCTAGTCCCAGAGGTCTTTAAAAGCCAGGAACTATATGAATGCACCATGACATATCTTTTACATGTAAAGAATGCATTTATACTCATTAAACTATTATTGCTACAACTTATTGTGTCAGGTTTATTTAGTTTATATCCATTGGTTTATTTTAATGTTTAGTAGTAAATGTATACCATAATTCATTAGTTATAATGTTAATTTCAGACCCATCCTCCGAGCGAACGAATTTTTCGTTGGTCGATTGCAGTGTCAGAGTAATATGAAACTAGTTTTTCATATCTCTGAGAGTGGTTCTGAAATAGAATTGAAACACTGCGCGTCCTCTAAGACAAGAGTTAAGTCGTCACGAAAATATTTTGTGCACTTAAATTGGATAAGACTCGCTACCAATCCCCGTTGACTCGATACGACGATAGCTCAATGGGTAGAGCGGCGGTCTAGATACCCGAAAATACGAGTTCAAATCCCGCTCGAGCCAACGAATTTTTCGTTGGTCGATTGCAGTGTCGGAATAATATGAAACTGATATAATGTTAATGCTGTATTAAATTTATTATAGGAATAATAAAGACTTTATACACGATGGTAAGAAAGTACTCTTTGAAAGAGCTCACATTTTGTAAATGTGCATGAATACCATTATATTAACCCAATGAGTGCAGCGGTCTCCATTTGACGAGTAAAATCGTTCGGTGTTAGAGTAAAATAATACAGTAGGGAGCATTGGGGCGCAATGCGACTCAATGGGATAGTGTGTTGATCCAGCTGAAAGCAGAATCTAATATTTAATCAACATAATTGTTTATAGTGTACAAGAGTAACACACTGATATTGATCACTGTCTCAGAGGTCACAAAGTCAAAGCTTGAAAAATATTTTTAGGGAGTGGTGTATCCTTGCATACATATCCTTTCAAACATTGTATCATCCGAAATTTTGTTAAAGATGAAGAATATCTAAAACATCTGAAGGAAGAGTTGTTGGAATTACAATTTAAAGAGAAATCTAATGATTTGTACAAATTTTATCAGGTATTGTTCATTAAGTTTCTCACTTATTGGTGAGCGGATTTCCCACCAGGCTGTTGTTGATTTTAACGTCCTTATCCGAGAAGACGCGAAAGTATGTCAATGTATTTAAGGTAGCATTTTCTCCTCAATTATTTTAAGATTTTATAAGCGAATTTAGCGTGGGCGCGTGCAGTGTCAAGCACTTCTCGACAGAAATGAAATTCCAATTATCGATATCTAGTTTAACCGTCTTGTTAGTATAATACGTGAAAACCATTCTGAAGTTGACTACCATTGAGGTAAGTACCTACCAAGTTTATAATAGGATAAGCCAGTACGGTCTACCTAATTTACATTTTTACATTACTCACATACCATTTCAACACAAATTATGTTAAGATAATGTAGGCCACGGTAATAGACTCTGCTCGATTTCTCGTAGAATCGTAACTGAGCTGTGGGAATGTGAACCATTACGCAAGTTCGTATGATTCTTGTGTTAGCCCAATTCTAATTAGTGCATGGAATTGCATCAATATATTTTATGTAAGTGTCAATGATTAATGGAGATAACAAAAGTTCTTAGACAATGGCAGAAAACAATGACAAGTCATTAGCTAAAGCCTGTTCGCAGGCTAGCTAACTTCCCGAGGAAGGGCCTTGTATTTTCCAGGTAATTGTATTCTCTCACACCGCAGCAACCCCAACTTTAACCTGGGGTTTTCACCCAAAACTGCAAGTTTCAACCACCAACCTACAGTACATATCAACCTGTCCCAACCTGCATCATGCAATTTCGACCCCTGCTATAGTGAATTGGGTAGCATGGGCTATAACTGATTAAGTATATTGGGATTTATCACAATTGTTATAAAGATAAAATAGTGGTAGGTAAGCGTAATACTTGATGTAAAGTGCATTTGATTATATCTACATGAAATTTGCTCTATAGAAATCGCAATCGAAATTGACTAAAAAATAATAATTACACCGAGTACGACCCGTATGGTTTACCGGCTTTACTGTACATGCAGTTGTTAAACTTCTTATGAACCGTCGTCCGTTAACCAACAACCATCTCTATATTGAGCTTGCTCGACTCGCACTAATCCTACGGCTACGGTTCGTACAAATTGTATGCTTATATCATGACAGTACTGTAGCAGTGTAGGTTCTTTTTTTTCTTCTTTTTTTTCCTGCTTTGAGAGACCTACACTATATTGTGCAGCACAATTTGTGCTAAGTAAGGCGTCCGTATTGATCGTAATTTCTGTTTACGATTGTGAATGAATTTTGACCCATGCATGCACACATGCACATTTTTACTGAGCATTTTCCCAATTAGGCTTTACAATGCCCATTACATGCAGTTCGAACTAATAATGTACAATATGCGTACAACAGCTTGGAGATTGTTCATGTTTATGGAGGATATATTAGCCCACATTGAAGAACAGTACTCAGTAGAAAAGCTTGTTAAGCGTACAGTAGAAAACTGTTGTTTACTCAGCCTAGTCCCAGGCTCTCTCTCTATTCGCTGCTTTGATATATTTAAATAAGTCTTAAAAGTTTTATGCCTGGGTGTGCAGTTCACCTTTAGCGGTGACGTCACACCTAGGTCCCAGTGTCGTACTACATCCACGTTTTTTTCTCGCGCTTGCTTCAGAACGACTGGGACTAGGCTGGTTTACTCTATTAATCTGACATAGTTTTGAAGTGCATGACATAGTTATAGTTTTGAAGTGAAGTGAAGTGCCGTGACTTCAACTATGAATCCGTAATGCCGTGACCATGTGCACATAATTGGACATGTTTGAATTTACGATGTTTAGCATCCTGCATGAGAAGAACATGTATGACTATATCTTTAACATTTGTAGAGCAATGACCTTAAAACATCAAGAAAAGAAACTATTTCCAAGTTAAGGTAGATTTCAATACATATATAAACTGATAGAATACATAATACAACCATGCAGGGGCTGCTGGTTAATACTATTTGTCCGTCTAACATAATCTGGTTAATTTAACCAGGAGGCCCATCCTTGTTAATTAATTAATTAATTAAAATGACCAGGAATATTAAGTTAATTAACCCATTGAGCGCCAGTGCTCTTCCCTTGACAAGTAAAATTGTTTGACATTAGACAGAATAAAATAATAAAGTAGGGTGCATTTTGTTGTAGGGTGCATCAATGGCTCTTAATTGTTAAACTAAACACATGGGCAGATAGTCTGATCAACCCATTGAGTGCCAGCACTCTCCTCTCACGAGTAAAACTGTCTGGTGTTAGACGGAGTAAAATAGTAAAGTTTGGTGCATTAGGGCGCAATGCTGCTTAATGGGTTAATCCAAATAGGCTTTTTTCTACAATCCAGGCCATGCACTTATGTGGACACGCACTTAATCCACTTTTGCAGAAATCTTAACAAACAGCTAAAACTTGACGTATATCCCCCACTCCCCTTCTTCAATGCAGTAGCGAAGCCACCCCGACAATTTGGTCATGCTATGTAAATATTCCCGTGTTCATAGACCGTGAAAGCAATCAATTTCTAAAGAAATGAAAATTTGCATAGCGTGACCAAATTCTCGGGCTGGCTTCGCCATTTCTTCAATGTTGTGTATCCGCATTATCTTGGTGGAGCGGGGGGATGTTTATGTAGAGAAACGCTATCCTAAGCCAATGTCTGTGGGTTGTTCGCAACGTCTTGGGCAGGAGTGTAGGTTAACCACGCCAAAAATTTTAACCAGTTTGTATTTGAGGTGTACCATTTGTACTAGCTGTATAGTACCAACGAACTAGGATAGAAAATCAGAGGATATGTAATTTTTCTGGTTTCTGATTTGTGAAATTTTGATATCATGCAAGAAAAGTGTGTAAGAACGCCGACGATATGTGTTTATATGTTAATTAAGAAGTCTTGTTTAATAGAATGTGAATCAATCAATTTGCCACATGAAAAACCTAGTATGCCGATTGGTTATAACTTATAATAGTCAACATAAAAAATTATCACATTGTCTTCAGGAAATTATTGTACAAAGATTGCCTTGACTGGATGAAAACTGTCACTAATATCATATTGGATGAAAATGCTATAGACATGTCTTGTGCAAAATATACTAACACCGGTAAGAACTGTGATAATATGAGGGTATTATAGGGATCAAAATATTATGCCACACCATTGGCCAGTTGTGGTGTATTGATGATGTACTGATGATGTATACTGGCTGGTGTTTTAATTAAGTCTAATTAATAAACACAACATTGATTCTCAGATCTCTAAGTCGGGTATTACTGCGCCTTTCAAGCAGCACAACCAAGGCCTACTCTGGAATCTTAACTCGCCTTAAATCGCGGGTTGAAATTGACCGAAGTTCCCTTAAATCGCCTAAAGTCGCTAAACTTTCATTATCGGTTTAGGCGAGTTACCACGCCGAGTATAGGCCTACACCCACAAGCCTGTGAAGATAAGAATACGTATGTTGTTGTCGTTAATAGCCTCCTCCCCATTAACTCCGGTCAAACGGGATGAGATTTGGCCAGCGAGAGTGTCAAACGAAAACAAGAACTCTTAAGAACAAACAGGAACAAGATTTGATGAGAGTTTGCTGGAAGTTACCGGTTAAACGAGAAAAAACTCGCATTCTCAACTCTCCTCAGAAATTGAACCAGCTCAAAATCATTGAGAGTTGTTGACTGATGAGAGTGCATGATAGGTGATGAGAGTGCATGATAGGTAATGAGAGTTGATGACTGATGAGAGTGCATGATAGGTAATGAGAGTTGATGACTGATGAAAGTGCATGATAGGTAATGAGAGTTGGCGATCAAACGCAAGCGAGAGTTGTAAATATTCATGAACTCTCATAAACTCTCCTCGTTTGACTGGGACTAAAGTTAGGGGTTATAAAGGTGATCGGAAAATATAGAGGAGAATGGGAGATCACAACTAGATTTTTTTAAAACCCTAACACTATAGATATATGCCTGCAGAGGAGGCCAAGTTGTTAGTCTATCAAACGTCTATAAATCGTGTATGTAAGCAATAACTACAGTATAGACAATCAATAAAACTAACTGGATATAGCTGCTCCCAGATCCAGTAACGACTTTCCGTTATTGGTTCAGTGTGACTGCAGAAAGAATGTGATATTTTTGGTAGAATCAAACTGGAAGCATTCCCTTCATGCATCTAAGATGAAAAAGTCACTTACACTAAGCTGCATTATGCTACCCAACCTCGAAGCCGGGCTACCAACACCCTTATGTGACGAAACAGCAGGCATTATAAATAGACTGTTTTGTTTTTGCATCAAATGAAGAATGTTAATTTGTTGTTTAGATGTTCTTCTTTGTCATGATGATGAACTTGAAGGAAGACGCATTGCTTACATTTTTTATCTTGTCCCACCATGGACGAAGAAGGACGGAGGTAATTATTACGTTATAATTATGTCTACAAATATAATTATATTTAACAGTTATTCGCCGAAGGCGAGGTGATTATCAGTGAATAAAAACCGATCGAGGTTTTTACTCACGATAATCACCGAGCCTGAGGTGAATAATTGTTTTAGTATAATTTCGTAGGTAATTATTTGGAAAAAAATAAAAAAAATACACATTTCTTCGTCATTTAATTGACAAAACGAACTTTCGATAATCGCTTAGGTGATTATCGCGTTATAATCACCTCAACGGCAACCAATCAGCGTGGATAATTTTCAGTAATCACCTATGTAATTGTACTGATCAGCGTTCATGGTGGCAACACCATACTTGGCACAATTTTAACTCAAACAACTTCATTTTTACAGCAATAAAACTTTTAATGAGATAACTGAGTTTCAAAACTCAATACAAGATTGAGTTTTGGGGCCTGATTATAGCTTATATAGTATCATTACCTGATTTTATTATTTGTTACAATAAGCATGCAACTGCATTATCTCAGCTCAGCTGACGGCTTGTGTAGGTTTATTTAGCTTAGGAAACCCAACAAAGTGAGAAAAACGAACATACCACCTGCAATTTGTTTGACAACATAAACGTAAAGCAATTTTAAGCTGTTTTAAAGCCACGTGAAGGTTGAATTATCCAACCTGCCCTCTTCATGGGGAGGAGGAGAGAGCCGCCCCAAACCCCAAGATGATTAATCAATCTCCTCCGAAAAGAAAACGGACCCAGCAAAAAAAATTACCCCAACAATGTAAAAGAAGAACAATTATTTTCTTTTTTTAAGGTTCACTTGATTTATTTGACATTAATGGTAAGCGCTATATGCATGCCATGAACTTCATTGTTTATATGTTAAGAATGCACTATTCGACAGATACGTTGTTGTAATTTCAATTTATGCAGATTGCAGTACAACTTTTTAAATTTTTTTTATAAATACTTGCATGTATGAGAATGATATTCTCTTAAAAATGCAAGAAGTGCGACCAGGATTGAACATAATGATTTTTGAGACGTTCTCTGGTTGGAGGTATTTATTTATCACGAGCTTTCGGCTGCCAGACTGCAGCCTTCAACAGGTAGTTATAAAATACAATGATTACAGACGACTACGGTTTACAATTACAGAGTATACGCCTACGGTTAGCAAACCATGGTCGTCTGTACTACCCGTTGAAGGTTGCAGTCTGGCAGCCAAAATAAATATTTGCAACCAGAGAACGTTTCAAAAATCGTAGTGATATTCTCGTCAAATAAGGCAGCACAGGTTGGCACAATCATTTGTTATGTTAACAACAATTGGCAGTAGAAATTTAGTTTGTTTCATTTGAAAGAACGTTTAAATTAAAATTATGTACTAAATTTTGTTGTAGATTTTATTGGAACTATTGGAATATTTTGACTGAAGGCAATGAACTTTCCATGGATTAATTCTTAACTTCATTCATATGACTTTTATGAGGGCAAGTGTGCATGATATAGCCATATAAAATCGCCTCCCATTGATTGAGTGAACATCAAAAGTTGTTCAAAATGCTTCTGTTCAGTTCGAAATTGGAATAGCAACCATGAAGAACGAATTTTTGGCTCACATTGACACTGGGTGTCAAGATAAAAATATTGAGTGTTCCCACTTGTGAAGTAACAATGTAACATGCATATCCTGAATAATCCAAGATGGCGGACAGCTCACTGTTTTCATTCAAAATATTTCAAAAATCAAGCAAAATGTGAAGAAGCTGTAAAACGTTCCTTCAAATGCGACAAACTAAAAAATTTATTGCCAATGTCCTTTAAATGTTATATCAACTTTGAACGAAACTAACACCACAAACTGGGTACGAAAAATTGCTCTAGGCTCTTTGCAAACTTCAGATGAAAAGATTAGGTTCGGTAATTTCAGTGTCCAAAAGCTAGATTCAGTTGGGGAAACAGAAACCCTGGTATATTTTAGCCTTATTAAGTCACTCACTAAAATAGATTCTTTTTTTTACATAGAGTTTGGTGAACCGGATATGATAGTGAAATCGTTAGTTCCAGAGTGGAATAGTTTAGTGTTCTTTGAAGTGACCCCTGTTTCATTTCATCAGGTAACATTCAGTCAGAAAAACCGTGTTGTGGTAGGTATAGTTAAAAGGTTCCTTAATACAGTTTGGAAGCCGACAACGGCAACGGCAGAAAACGAAATTACTTAAATTTTTGTATGCGTGTCAAAGCATACATTACTAATACTAGATTCCCCTTATTACGTTTTCGTAGCGCTTTGCATTGTGGTTATAGTGGTATCACTGATATTCAAGATGGCTTATTTTTTGTTCTGACCCGTGCAAGAACTTTTAAAAAAAGCTAGGGTCAGGTGCGCGATAGCCAACAGAAAATATTCACAAAAACATTCAATATTTCCATTCGAGGCCGCTATCTTTATCAGTGATACCACTATAACCACAATGCAAAGCGCTACGAAAACGTAATAAGGGGAATCATCAGTGGTTTTTATAGAGCAAGGACAGAGACATAAAACATTATAGCGTGGTTATGAGCCATGAAAATGATAAAAAATAATGTACCAGTTTGAGAAACTACAATAAATTAACGGCATACTAGAATGCCCAAGGGAAATACAATCTATAGTCGCCTTTGTCTTAGACTATGTGCACACGGTAACGTTTTCGAGCGTTTTCAGTTGTAACATTTTCGAAAAGTTTCGTTTTCAAGCCGTGTCCACACGAAAACGACGTCTTATGACGAAAACGTTTTCAATGCTAAAAAACGTTTTCGGACAAGCGTTTTCGCGTTGAAACGCTAAAAATCCAAGATGGCGGCTTAAAATCAAAATATTATATTCTTGTTTCCTGGAAGCTTAGATCTTTCATTGGTATAATTTATTCTTAAGTTAAAAACTTTAGCAACAAATAAAACAAAATATATAGCCTTTCAAGTGTATAATGATTTATGAACGATTTAAAATGTGTTTTGCTTTCGAAGGAGCGACAGACTTCGTATCGGTGATGCTGAACATACATATAAAACTGTTTACTTTATTATAATGAACAGAGGACATTTAAGAAACTCGTTGACAAGAAATGACTCCATCTGGTGGAAAAAAACCCGATGATAACAAGCCGCGAGAGATGGAAATTTTGTCGAGACAAATATTCTCTTGCCGTGAAAACGTTTCCATGTGGACAGAGCGTCAAACTGACAAAACAACATTTTAGAAACATTCACTAATGGTGCGAGGTCGAGGTTGGCGAAACTGTAACTTGGATAGGATCACGTTGTCATGACCAAATTTTGCAGCATAGTCTCTTATTTTTTATGCTGTATATCATCGGATACGTGCACGTTTTTGCTTTGAGTACCTGACCATATACGCTAATCCTAACCGGGGCATTGGCCCTCTTACCCTAACTGGTGTGGCACCATCTTCCTCCCTTTCGGCATTATCGCAAAGTCTAATTCTTGTGGTGCAACAGTTAATGAGCCTTGTATCTTAAGAGCAACCTTAAAGCCCCGTTAATGGACAACTTGCATGTCAGACTAAATTTTAATCTAAGTAAAGAGATTAAGGAAATCAAACACCACAGCTAAACAGAACATAATGATATTATAGCAAAATTGCAAAATTTGGTTGCGAAATGTTGTAAAGCAGTGGAAAATAAAGCCTTGCAAAGTTTGCAAATTTTGTATATGTTTGTATTACGTGCGGAAATTGTTACCATTTTCGGCTAAAAAATGGTAACACTTTCCGCACGTAATACAAACATATACAAAATATGCAAACTTCGCAAGGCTATATTTTCCGTATTTTACACCATTTCGTAACCAAATTTTGCAATTTTACTAATTTTAGTAAGTTCTTTACACTGTGTTGACCTCGTTTGAACACTGTGTTGACCTCGTTTGAACACTGTGTTGACCTCGTTTGAACACTGTGTTGACCTCGTTTGAACACTGTGTTGACCTCGTTTGAACACTGTGTTGGCCTCGTTTGAACACTGTGTTGACCTCGTTTGAACACTGTGTTGACGTCGTTTGAACACTGTGTTGACCTCGTTTGAACACTGTGTTGGCCTCGTTTGAACACTGTGTTGACCTCGTTTGAACACTGTGTTGACCTCGTTTGAACACTAGCTGTGTTGACCTCGTTTGAACACTGTGTTGGCCTCGTTTGAACACTGTGTTGACCTCGTTTGAACACTGTGTTGACCTCGTTTGAACACTGTGTTGACCTCGTTTGAACACTGTGTTGACCTCGTTTGAACACTGTGTTGACCTCGTTTGAACACTGTGTTGACCTCGTTTGAACACTGTGTTGACGTCGTTTGAACACTGTGTTGACCTCGTTTGAACACTGTGTTGGCCTCGTTTGAACACTGTGTTGACCTCGTTTGAACACTGTGTTGACCTCGTTTGAACACTGTGTTGACCTCGTTTGAACACTGTGTTGACCTCGTTTGAACACTGTGTTGACCTCGTTTGAACACTGTGTTGGCCTCGTTTGTGTTGGCCTGGTTTGAACAGTGTTGGGAAATGCTGTTGTTCGATCGGTTTTGACTATGTTTAAAATTTTCATCCGACATTATCCAACATTGTTTGAGCGGGGCTTAATATGAACAGCTGTATAATGATATGCACTGCATATTGTAGAAAATAGGAGACCATATTGAATTTTGTTTCGTGTAAATATGAACAGCTGTATAATGATATAGACTATATATTGTACAAAGTAGGAGACCTTATTGAATTTTGTTTCGTGTGCACTCAACAAATTTCATGCATATTGCATATTTTATAAACTAATTTTACGCTCGTCTTAACAACTGTTTTCTTCCTAATATTATACTTGAAAAAATACTCAATTCTGATTGGCTAAGCTAAGAATCGTGCAATTTTATCGAAATTCATGATCTTTCTAAAAAAAGAATTCAGTGCAAAAAAAAGAAATACCTAATACACCGATTCGAAAAAGAGTTGTCAAGACTGGAGGACTGTGGCGAGTTACACGAAAACGAGGCTAGTCAGGTTGTTGTTTTTAGTCAGGAAATTTACAAAATAATACTAAAAATTATACAAAGTTATATAAAAGGTTTTCATGGAAAAATTGTTGTTTAAAGTTGCATGCCATCGCACTGTTGTGTACCTCTTTGTTCTCAGCAAGGATACCGACTCTCAAATGGTGAAAAGGTTTCATATTTCAACTTTCCAAAAGATAAA